CACAAAGATAACTTTGAGGAGTGTGGGTTTTCTTGTTTGTTTTGCTTTTGGAATGAACTAAATTACACCAAATACCATGTGGTTTTGAGAGACAGCATTTCTTGGACTTATCTGCAATGCAAAAAACCTAATCTCTTGATTCCTTTGCCAGTAGCTAACCCCCTACACCACACTGCCTCTCTGCCAAGAAAATGGACATCCCTATGCCCTAGTGACTATATCTGCAAGTTGCAGCTAATAAAAACACACAAAACTCATATTGCACTATTTCACCTGTAGGTTTGAAGGCACTTTACAAGGCAGCTATACATTATTGTCCCCTTTATTATTTTTTTTTTGCTACTGACCTAAGTACAGAGGCTTGAAATGATTTTTGGTAGGGACCCCACAGCCAGATTCTAAAATGTTTGGGTTCTGCTCTTAGCACTTTCACAAGCTTCTTGTGGCAAATAATTTAAACCAGGGGTGGGAAAATACAGCCCAAGGGCCAGATCTGGCCCACAGAGGGATTTTGTCCAGGCCACAACAGGTCCCTTGGTGCCACATGGCACAAGCGCCATCCAGCTCATGGCACGTCCTGCCACCCCCTGGGCATGCAGTGGAGTTGGGGTGGCTCTGCAGCTGTACTGCCTTTCTAGGCAGCCCAAGTGGTGGTGGTTCCCTTCAGCAGCCACTGCCACTTGCCCCAGCCCCGTGGTACTAGCAGGGGCCCACGCACATAGCCCTGACCCTGTCCTGCACCCAATCTGGACTCAGCCCAGCAGAGCAGACCATCTCTGAACCAGCCAGAACCCATGCACAGAGCCCCAGCCCAGCTCACCCCATGCCTGCTCAAGACTCATCCACTCATGCTGAGCAGTGGCAGCAGTGGCAATGGCTGGGCAGAAGCTGATGCTGGGCATGGGGGAAAAGCAGCCCCTCCCCTTCACTGCTGCCAGGCCCTTCTTGCTACAGCCACTGGAGCGCATGTCTGAACTGCCCTACAGCTCCTCTACACTGCCACCGCTGCCTCAGTAGGCAATGGTGATGGTTGTGGAGAGAATCAGCAGAGCAGCCTAAGTGCGGGGGGGCGGGGGG